TGTTGATGGTCAGGGAGGAAGTGGGCTGCAGTTTAGCAATATCTGGAGCATCGGAGGTTCCATACACCTTTTTTATTTGCTGCATCCACTTTCTGCCTAGCAGCCCCCCCCCCCCATTATCACCACAAGAGCCCTGTGCAGTAGGTTAAACTAGAAGTTGGTGACTGGCCCAAAGTTATCAAGGGAGTTTCATGGCTGACTGAGGATTTGAACCATATTCTCTCACTTTGTAGTCTGCATTGCAGTGGTTTGGACCAGGTGAACTTTGAGGTACCCCACAGTTCATCTAGTCTAAACGCCTGCAATGCAGGAATCTCAACCAGACAATACACGACAGATGTTTAAAAATCTCCAGGAAGGGAGAGTCTACCACCTTTCCTGGGAGTCTGTTCCACTTTCAAACAGCTCTCACTGTCAGAAACTTCTTCCTGTTGTTTAGTCAGAATCTCCTTTCTTGTAACTTGCAGGAGCATCACGCTGTTGACTCACGTTAAGCTTGATTCATGTTAAGGGGTCTTCTAAGACCCCCAATGTCCTTTTCACACGTACAGCTGACAAGCCAGGTATCCCCCATCTTATCTTTGTATAGCTGGTTCTTCCTGCCTAAGTGTAGAATCTGACACACACACACACACACACACACAGTATATATATATATATATATATATATATATATATATATAATGCATGTTTATAGGGGGGAAAACAGTGAAAGAGCATTAACATCTATTAACATCTATTATAATATCTAATTATCACATATTGGTAATTTGTTTTATTGTTGTTTTTTCTATTATCCACTCTTCACCCTCAGGTCCCAGCGTAGGTTACAATAATTTAAAATTCAACATTAAAAACATACAGTTACAGAATACAGTTGCACCACATAACATCACCTCTTTCTATAGCCCCCACACCTCCCCAAATAACAAAGGTTCTCTGGGCTCAAAAAGCAGAAACTTTTTTTTAAAAAAGGATATCTGAACAGTAAAAATGATAACAGATTAATTACAAGCAAAACTGCAGGAAAATTAAAAGAGGATTTGAAACTCAGTTTGTAGCAGTGTTGCCAGGCATTGTTGTATCAGATGCCATGGACTTGAGTCCACAAAAGTTGATGCCAGAATAAATGGGTTAGTGGAAGTCCATAAGCTGCAACCCGACTCTTCAATGTTTTTGCCAGACCAGGGAGAATTCATGTATGCCTCTGAGAACAAAGAGTCTCCCATTGATAATTGCCTCTCCTCTTACTAGTGTAACCACTTGCATATTGTCCCAAGGGAGGAGATGCATCCCCCCAGAAGAGGGGAAAAGCTTATGCTAATTTGTATCTACCTTTGCAAATATACAGATATACACTGCAGTGGAACTCTGTTCCTCATATGCTTTTGCTTATTTCATTTGTGAATTGCTTCTCCCAAGGAAGCAGTTTACACTAAAAAAGGATGCACATATATGTGGAACATTTGCACATATAAAAGCAAGTATACATATAAAACAATTGAGGACAACAACTCATTTATAAAATCAATTCAAAGCTCAGTGCATTTGGACTAGATGACCCTCCCAGCTCTATGTTTCTGTGATCTATGATAGCAGAAGATAATGGATGATGGATTTTTAAAAAATCTCCACTTATAAAAGGCTTGTTGAAAGAGAAACATGTACAGTGGTACCTCAGGTTAAGAATTTAATTTGTTCCGGAGGTCTGTTCTTAACCTGAAGCACCGCTTTAGCTAATGGGGCTTCCTGCTCCCATTAGCTGGGGAGTGGACGGGTGGGCAAGCTCCTAGCCACTCTGAGCCAGAGTGGAGAGGGGTGATTCTTGCTTCTCCTTGGGCCTGGGCCCTTGGCCCCCTGATTATAACCAAGAAAACTAATACAATGGTCTCCACACCTGGATGCCCTCTCTGTTTGCCAAGAACATCTATTTCAGCCAACCAGAATTAGCTCTCCATCTCATAGTCCTATGATGGCTCTAGGAGGTGACTGCATAAGTTTGTATTTAGATAAGCTATAATTAATGTGGACTTTCAGCTGCCTTTAGTTGGTTTCATCTGCTGGCAATGAAGAACACAAGCTTTTAAAAATAACAGGAGGTGAACAGGAAGAAATGACTCGGTGAGGTTTGCTCTTATTTAATCTAATGTGCCATTAGGGAGAAAAGTGGGACAACTTTTATCTAGATTTCATACACAAAGCTGAAAATGTGGGTTGATTCCTCTGGGGCATATTCCTTAGTAATCAAAACTCTACCTTCACATAGGGTTGGCTCCACCCTGTCTGCATCTGACGTGTATAACTGTCCTAATTTAGAAACTTAATCTGAGGCTGGGTTATTGCAGTAATTTGAAGAGACATAGCTACACCCTTTTGGTGATGGATACCGTTAGCTGCTGTCGTATAAATGGAAGTATATTGCTGTTCTGTATTAATGACCTTATTTTTTTACTCAAGTTCAGATACATTGATTTATTCTAACAGAAGAGGAGAGTAAAGTATCGGTAATCTCACTTCACCATTGTGAGCTCTTCTGTAAAGCTGAAAAATCGCTTATTTGTTTATATTAAATTTCTATACTACCTTTCATCCAAGGATTGTAGGGCAGTTTTACAGATACATAATTTATGTAGCAAATGGAGGAGGTGGCATATTAACACCTTTAACTTGGTGAGCTGAAATTTGAACACAGTGATGGGATCTGAAATGGTAGTGACTGACTGGGAAGAAGACATTGCTTGGGGTTGTGGTGGACAGCTCAGTGAAAATGATGAGTTCTATGCCGGGGTTATTAGGGAAGGGACTTAAAATAAAACTTTCACTATCCCACTTGAAGTACTGTAGACAGTTCTAGTCATCTCACCTGAAAATGAATATTGAAGAGCTGAAAATGGTTCCAGGGGATGGAGCAACCTTTCTATTTAATTTTGTTTATTTAACAAAATTTATACGCTGCTTTCTAGAACAAACATCTGTAAGTGCTTGACAAGAGATAGTTGAAAATATTCACTTAACGAAATGATTGGTGCTGAAGTTCTGAATCCAGTAATTCACATGGTTTTAGAAAAGTGTAGAGACAGCTTGGCTGAGCTACAGGACGACGTGTTTGGCATGCTGTGTGGACCAAGCCCCCTTTCTACTCTACTTCACCAAAGTGCAGAGAATTACACCTCTTCCTCATTGGTGAGGATGCCAGATAACAGGGACTAACCTGTCACTTTTGGTGGGACTGCATCAAGGTACAAAAACTGTGGGCTATGGTATTCCATGAAATTGGTGCAATCGCAGGCCCTCCTGCATATTTTTGAGGAGGAAGAGGTGGGTTTGTACTGTAAAGAGATGAACATTCATTTGCTTATGGTGGCACAAGTGACTGTGACCCAGTTTTGGAGGAATCTAGCAGAAGCCATTCTGGTATGCTAAGGTATGGGAAATTGTTTTTTAAGAAAAACTAGCTCATAGACTAAGGATTTAAAGAGGTCAAAATAAAAGAGACACATTTGGTTTTGTTTTTTACATTTTTATAGTTTATGTTAAGGATAAAGAACACAGGTCACCTTCAGTTTTCAGATCGATATGGTTGCTTTAATTGTTCAATTCAATTATTAAACACTTTATAGAAATTCTTTATAGAAATGCATTTCTGTTTATTCTCTCTTTCCTCTACAGAATAAAGGGATAATTTTATCTTAATATTAATATCCTTGTGTTTTGTACTTTGTGACTAACACTTGTCTCCTTTTTTTAACAGTACTGTTTCGGTATTTCTCTGCACTAGAAAATGTGTACATTGTTTTGTTTTGTGTTTCATTTTTCATGTTGAACTAATAGAAATTGTGCTAATTTGTATTCTCTGTTTCTGTCATTAAAACCAATTAAAAATGATAATTAAAATAATTTTAAATACCATTAAATTTTTAAAAAAAGAAATTAAAGATCAGAAATATAAAATCTGATTACTAATTTTAAAACCACATATACATACTAAAATCATGTTTCCTGAGAGGAAAGATTACAACATTTTGGGCTTTTTACTTTAGAGAAAATGAAGGTAAGAGAGAACGTCTACCCTGGACATTAAGTTCAAGTCCTCTGGAGAGGCAGCAGGAGTTGACACTCTTTCCAGGGTCGGTGCAAGTTCTTCAGCTATCTGAGATGAAGGACAAGATGCTGCGTTTCCTACATTCCAGGCAACCAGATGGAGAGTGGTATTCAGCTAGTTTTTGTCAAAGTAGATATTAATATCAATTAGTCTCCTTTGGCAAAAATGAGCAGAAAATCACCCTTGCTGTATTCAAGCAAGGCAATGGAACAGTTTCCTCTACAGGACAATGATGGCAGCAATCTATTTTAGTGGGCACATGACAGGCTGTGGGGCACATAATCTAATCCCTACTCTTCAGCGTCCCCCACCTCACACTCACGTTGTCTAATGATAGGGTCAGCTCTGGCTCTTTTGGGATTCCCACTCATTCCAGTAGGTCTTATGTGGAAGGGAACTTTTTGAAGGTCGGTGCCCTTGAAGACATTCAAAAGGAGCTGCCTTTTTCAGTTGTGCAACAAGCTCTGGTGCTGTGTATTAACCTCTCCAGACTTAAGTTGCATGCATTCTAATTATGAATAATAATAAAAATATTCTATAATCCTATAAACCTCCTATTACACAACCTCAGCCTTAGTGTGAAACCCAATAGCCTTGGCTCTGTTGGATGGCATGTTTGGAATCTCAGGCTGTTTATACTGCGCTATTGACAGTTTGATAAACTAAAGGTAGCCCTGCACTGATCTAGTTTTCAATTTTGCGTCTTGTCTATGTGTTTGTGTTTGTATTTGTTTGTTTGTATCAGTGTTGTGTTTTGTTCTATAAGACTGTTTTTCCACCCAAATGCCTTCAGCAGCTTGGGCTACCTCTACCTGATAACACCCTTTTGTGTTTCATTCAACGTTTTTCTCATCTGTGCTAAACCAATAACTCCCCTTAGTTATCTAAGGGTAACTATGGAGGGAGGCCCTTAGATCAGTGGTAGAATGTCTGCTTTGCATGCATAAGGTTCCTGGTTCAATCCCAGGCACCTCCACATGGGGCTGAGAATGTCTCCTGCCTGAAACCCTGGAGAGCTGCTGATAATCAGAGTCGACAGTACTGAGCTGAGATATATCAGTATCCAATTTCCATATTTCCCCAGTAATTCATCTATGTTGAATGGCAGGTGCACTAATTTGTAGATGTGGAAATAGCCACCCAATTTAACATCCTTCCAATTGTGTGACTTAGGCTGCAGACTGTCCACTGACCTGGAAATAAGTCCTATTGAACTCAAGAAGACTTACTTCTGAGTAGACATGTATAACATTGTACTATCAATTGGTCTTCCATGTATGGATGTGTTTGTGTGTATAACTGGTGCACACACTTATATATACTGATGACTATTACTTTCCAGTAGGAATCAGGATTATTTCTTTTCTCCCTCCGTTCTTCCAACACCCTTGTTAAGTGCTTGATGGAGGAACAAAACTCATATTTTTGGCATATGCTCCCTCCCTCTCTCCCCCACCCCCAATATTATGCAAGGAAAGGCAATGGATGGAATCAAAAAGGAAACAGATGCATTAGCAATAGGTGATGATTGGTTTATTGTTTTGGCAACGCTTGAGTATTTCGTGGGAGGAAGCTGTGAATTTTATGGTCTGATCCCAGTAGAGGACCACATGCAAAAACAAGCCGTTCTCTTTAACACAGGATATTTCCAGCATATTTCAAGTGGGGGCAGTTCTGCCTCACTAAGCTTTTGGAATTCCTTTGACAATACTGCTGAACTTGGCAGGCCAAGCAGTCAACTCGCCTTGTAGGAGTTAAAACTTGAGATGAACCTCTCTGCTCCTGTTAGTTGCCCCTGGGAGTCAGGAAAGGAGAAGGGGCATTGGGATGTCAACTCTTGTAGAGGGAAGGAAAGAGCAGGGGTAGGCCAAATGTATTCAGGTACATTTATTAAAAAGCTGATGGTGTATTGCCAAAGGCAGAGAATATCTTTGTTCTCAAGAGCTGCTTCTGTCCATTTTACAAGAATAGCTGCTTTGTTCTGTCCCTTGCAGCTCATGCAGACTGGTAGGGTGAAGCCAGCTTAGACTTCAGAGGAGCTGGGCATCATACTGGGTTTTGTTGTCCAAAACAGAAGTACCAGAAGCTGCCTTAGTCAGACCACTAGCTCATCTAGCTGAGTATTGTCTATACTGGCCATTGGAAAGTAATAGTCATGTGTACATATATGTATCACACATACAAGAAATGCCAACTGCAGCATGGATTTAAAGCACTATGATGCCACTTTAAACAGCCATGGCTTCTCCCAAAGAATTCTGGGAACTGTAGTTTGTTAAGGGTGCTGTGAGTTGTTAGGAAGACCCCCTGTTCCTTGCACAGAATGACAGTTCCCAAAATTCCCTGGGAAGAGGAATTGATTGGTAAACCACACTAGGAATTGGAGCACTGGGGGGATTGCCACTTAAATCATGTTGATTACCATAGGTCTGGAAACTGGATATTGATAAATCTCTGCCTTGGAATGAAAAAGTCAGGTGTGTGCTCCACACTAGCTAGAAACCCTTGAGTGGACATGGGAAATGGTCTTTACTGAGCCAAACCATTAGCTCATCTTGCCTACACTCTTTGGCAGCAGCTTTCTAGGATTTTAAAGAGTGGGCTTTACGAGAGCTTTCTTAGGATGCCTGGGATTGGACTTGATCCATGGGGCATATAGAGTGGGGCTAGCATTTGTGTACCTGACAAGGACCCTGCCTCGTAAGAGGTCCACTGCCAACCCACAGAGCCACCAGGCCCGGCTGCTGCTAGTTCGCCTGCCCTCTTTGAATGAGCAAGCACCAAAGGTAGGAAAAAAGACAGAGCAGCAAATCCCTCTGGGTGGCCCTGCAGATCCGGCACAGAGGAACATAAGAAGGGAAGGGGCAGCTGCAGCTGCGGCAAGCGGGTAGGAACTCAGAGGAGTAAAGGGTTGCTCTCATATGGGCATGTAGAATGTTGAAGCATGTTTTAACCTGTTTTTAAAATGTGTTTCTGACTTTGGTTTTGTTGTTTTTTTAGTGTTTTAAAGAGTTGGTTATAGTGATAATTTTATTGCTTTGTTCTCTTTGTAAAACACTTTGAGATTGCTTTTACAATTCAACAGTGTATAAATTTTATGAAATAAATGTGGTTGAAAGAAAGATACCCACAAACTGTCATTCTCACACACCCCACACACATACCTGGGCATAGCCAGGGGGCAGGGTGGCAGCTGATCCCCCATCAAGTAAATAAATAAGAATACTTAGCTAACTGACCAATCGTGTCTCAGATGGCTCAGTTCTTTCCCCCAACATAAATCTTCCCCCCCCCAAAAAAACAACATAAATCCTGGCTACCTAGGACTTTATCCAGGCAAAGCTGTAGCTATGCACTATAGATCACCGCTCACACTTTGCTTGGAGAAAGTCCTAGGTTCAATCTCTGATGTGCCCAGGTAGGAAGGGCTTGCCACCTGAAACTTGAGAGAGCTCCTAAAAATACAGGACTAAATGGATGAGGCATAGGGCAGCTTCCTAAGTTCCTATGTCACTTTGTGTTCTCTTGTCACAAGACAAGGGAAACTGCTTATAGGGCGTGGGGGAGCTGCGGATGTGCAAAGTATTTTATCCCATTCTGAGCTCAAAATCTCTGTATATTCTTCTTGTCATCCTCATGCGAGCCAATGTGCTGTAGCAGTTGCGGAGCCAGCCAAGAAGATCAAGAAAGAGTGCATGCCTCCAGTTAATCATGAATATCACCAGTCGCACGCTGTCAGCCTAACCTACCCTGCAGGGTTGTTGTAAAGAAAATAATGGCGGGGGGGTGACTTGCTTTTGTACTCACCATTCTGACCTCAATGGAGGAAGGAAGGGTTGTGAATGCAATTTGGATGTAATCATTTGCTTGTTAATACTTGTTGTTAATAAATAATGCACTGGCCAAGCACATTTTGTGGTTGAACACATTTCTAAAAAATCTCTAACTGACCCAAGGGAAGAGGTGTGAATTTGCCCAAAATGTGGAACTGGGGTGGAGGGTGGGGTGATTGTGTGAAACAAAGCATACAACTTTGCTTTTCTGCCATAATAAATACAAAGCTAAGTGAGAGAAGTAAATGTTTTCAGACTTGATTGGGCTGGCAGGTCTCCCTGTGCTCCTACAAGTGATGGTGGCGGAGATTGTCTAGGGCCAGTGACTCAGCAGAAGGTCCAGAATTTCTAGGAGTATCTAATGCTAAATTAACTACATGGCTTCCACCCAGAGTTGCCACGGAACTGCCCGTTCTAAACAAGCTAGTCCCTGAAGAGGCAAAAATATAAACCGCTCACAAGGCCAGTTTCAACACAATGCTTTTCCACCCTAGGAGTTGCTTTTGGACATAAGAACGTAAGATGAGTCCTGCTAAATCCGGCCAAAGGACACCCAATCCAGCATCTTCCTTTTTTCACAGCAGCCAACCATAAGAAGCTGAGAAGCCCATAAGCAGGACATTTGGACAATAGTGTTGTTTTCCAGTGACTGGTATCCAGAGTAATGTTGCCTCTGAACCTATAACAATTTAGAAAGATCCCTGTTGAAAACACTTTCGCTCATGTTTTTCAAGATAGGAGGGTCTGCCTTGTTCGCATGCCTTGCAACATTTCACAGATCAAAAGAGGGACACACTTTTAGCACCCCTGTTCTCATTGCGAAGATTGCTGCCTGTTCATTTATTTATTTACTTCTTTATTTAAGGCTTCGATACCCTGCCCTTTGACCCAAAAAGACTCCTAAATTAGCTTTCAAAAATCAGTAGTAAGATGGCCCCTGCAGTCAGGCTTACACTCTAAAAAGACATGGCACGTGAGGAAAAAGGAATGGGAGGGAAGAGGCAAGTTTAAGTATGAGTTCTTAAAGTGATTGTCCTTATGATGATGCTACACAATGTATGCAGGTTCTGACTGTCTGGGAAAGCAGTCCACCCACAAATAAACACTATTTATCCCCAACAGATCTAGGAACAGAGCCGGTGACAGTGCACTAAGCAGGCCGGGCTAATCTGGCCACACAGTTCCTCAAACAACGGAATCCATACCCTGTAATAGGGCTGTCCACTGCAGATTTAAAAGCCAAGACAGTGTTTGTTTTTCTGATTGAAGAGATACTCACAAAACATAATTGTCCAATAATATGTGATTACAGTTCAAACTGTACCTTAGCAGCTGCAGTGTGTGAAGTGTGCTATGTGGTGCTTTGGGTTTATTTGCATCTTTTTAACTGTGTGCAATAAAGACAAAATACAGCCCTTCCCCCTCCACGTGATGCAGTGCAACTCCCAGACTGCGTGGGAAAGGAGTTAAACCCTGAAGAACGGTATTAACATCATGATAAACTTGCAATAACAGCATTTCAAGAAGGCATCATCAGAAGGAAAAACACAAGGACTTTCCTTTGTGGGTCATGAATCAGTGGGGTGGGGAAGATTACATCAACTGGGGGACATGAAAGTTTTCAGGGAGACCCTAGTCCATTCAAGTGACAACTCCTCAATGAAGGGAGTGTAAGAAGCACACCTTTTGCATTGGAAATCTACTGATAATTAGACTACAATAGCGGCATTGACATGGCTGGAACGCTGGTCCAGAGAGTTGCTTATCATCCTCATTCTTCCAGCAGCATTTGATCCTATGAGTTCCTTCCCTACACACTGAAATTACTGGTGAAGCAACTCCAAAGCACTGCACCATTTATTCATGACTTTATTGAGCTTAGGAGCTTGATTTTAATATCAAATAAATGCTCAACTTCTTGTTTTTTATTGTAACATAATGACCATTGTTAGCAACCCCAAAGTGTAGTATTAGGGAGTTACATCATACCATATACTGCACAAACAGAAAAAGAAATCACAGGACCAATAGGACCACACCAATATGAATCAGGACATCCATGAGTTGGCATGGATGGTGAGTGTTGGGCATCTTAAGTCCCTAGCTTAAGAAATAAACATGACATAAAAGCATTATGGATCCT